ACAGGGTTTAGGAGAAATAACAGAAACAGACAAATTATTAAGAGCTGCAAGAGACAGGAAGTTGTGGAGAGACATGATTGCCTATGTCCTGAGAGAACAGGCACATAAAGAAAAGTCATTATATCTCTTTTTCACCATCTTGGCCTTGCGTTATACAAATCCGAGCTAAGTGACTCACAATAATTGCCCAATAGAATTTGAAACTTGTTTGGTTGTGTGTTTTTCATTTGCACCAGTCAAAAATTATTACTGTATTTTCTGGATTTCAAGACCCTGCAGCTTGGAAGATGCACCCTAATATTGGAAAGAAATTTCTAAGAAAAATAAAAAGTCATTCTTGTATAACAACACATTCACCATATGTCTCTCACATACTGGCACCATGTATTGTTTAAATTAATCACTCCTCTGATTTTGTTTGTATGGCAACGACATACTACTTGCTGATTAGTAAATACACTATACATCTTTCATTGTCCAAGGGTGGTTTTAAATTGTTTAATGAACTTGCCATGGGTAATAATTTCCAGGACAAAAAAAACCTTGTGATACATGTTGATATTTTCATGGCATAAGAGTGAGCAAACCTACACCATCAAGATCAAAAGCAGAAAGCCTCCTGCTGCTTGTAAACAGAGCATGTTTAAGCTTGTGGCTCAGCTCCAGGAAGGTTTATAGTCTTTGAAATACTTATAACAGCTAAGTACTGAGGTTACAAAATATAAAAGGTTATATTAGATAGCTAACATTATAGTGTAATGACTCAACATACAAATCCATATCCCTATCAGTCAAGCCAACTAGGTGACTGTCCAAGCTTACTTGAGCCTGGGTATTGCATTACATTCATCTTGGATGACGCACATATTTTTCAGGGTATTTTTTTTTTTAGGAAAAAAGAAAGTGTCTTGTAAGCCAGAAAATACAGTAATTAATACCCTATTCCAGAAATTCAAGGACTTACCATATTTTCTTGTGGATAATGAGAAATGTTGAATGAAAACTAAAAGAAAAAAGGCAAGAATCATATTTGGCTCAACTACATATTTTCAGAAATGTTAACTAAACTTCTTATTTGAAACAGAAAGATTGCAAATACACTCAGCAAAATAGATAAAACATAAATTCAGTAGGTGTTAATAACAGTTGTTTTAGTTATATGCCATGTATGATACATGCTTAGGCAATCATGTATCTTTTGACGAGGCAGACTTTTTTCCCTACAATAGGTTGCCATTTCTTTCTGCAGTAGACCAGTTGCCATCCGAGGCTATAGAACCCGGTCTGTCCTGCTATTTACCCATAGCTGAGGAATTTTAGTGCCATACGTGATACACACTTAGGCGTTTACCATGGCCATAGATAGGAATTATGCAATCTTCAACAGGAATTATGCAATCTTGTCTATGGTCGGTCAGTCAGTTATGTGCCATGCGTGATACACACTTAGACGATCATGTATCTTTTGATACATGACTGACGAGGCAGATTTTTTTCCCCACAGTAGGTTACCATTTCTTTCTGCAGTAGACCAGTTGCCATCCAAGACTATAGAATCTGATCTGTCCTGCTATTTACTCATAGCTGTCGGGGAGAAGAGTAGGATTCATACATTTTCCTAAGGGTATTAGCACATACTGGAATTCAAACTCGGCTCTCCAATTCGAATTCCAGTCGAATCCATTACATTCACTAACAATTGTTTACAAAAGGTATTTAATATGTCGGCAATATTTGTCCTTTGGGAATCAGTGTAATTGAATATCTTCTGTCTCAAAGACAGGAAATTCACCAAAACTGATTTTAAATCATTTTTAGTGAATTTCCTGATTAATGAAGGTAATACACAAGATCTGTTATAACATTAATTTTACCAAAAAGGCCTAACTGTTGTATAAATTATGGTATTTTAGTTTTTTTTCCACTTGAAAAATGGGTTGATACCTCCCATGCTGTGTGGTGGTTGTTTTATATTCCTCTGTTGACACCTGTTTGAATTTAGAAGTTTTGCTCACAAAATGAACTTTTATATTTTAAATTTCTTGTTTATTTTTAAAAATTTTCTCTCTTCAGGCTTAATGAAAGAAAATATTTTTCGTAGTTCATTAATATATAGAAATAAAATAAAGACATTTCAAGCAGAAAAGTATAAATTCATTAACACCTTAAAATGCATTACCAGGTATGTCTAATTAGCTCTTTCCCCCCAAAATTCAAAATAACTTTTGAAACGGAAATCAGAAGAAACATGTAATGTCTAAAGATTTGGTTCATTTCTATTTTTTAATATCATAAAAATTTATATTTTTTTGTTGAAATATACATTAAGATTTAAATGGATAATATGGTACTTCTTTTTAAAAAAAATATTATGTAGGGATGGCTGTACTACAGTCATTATACTCGAGGATATAATTTATTCCCTGTCTTCAGAGATATGGGTTGTATTATTATACACAATATTATACACAAGAAAATATGGTACATGTTGAAAGAGAAGATATAATTGGTATATGTAATAAATTTGGGTATGTAATCCCAACAGTCATAAGTTATTGACATTTGGAAAAATATGAAAGTAGGTTTCAAAAATAATATTTGAAAATATATTTCACTTATATGGCTTCATCAGATGGATAACAAAAAAATGTGTTGTGTGTATACATTTGTGTGTGTTTAAAATAATTAAATCTTATATATTAATTCTCAGACACTTAAGGCAGAGAATATAAAATGTTTAACAATATTTTTTAAAAGTCACTCATTTTCTTTCCCTTTTTTTTTTTTTTTTTTTTTTTTTTTTTAAGTCTTGACCAATGCCAGTTTGGGAAAAATAATATAAGATTTAATGATTTTAAGCACACTCAAATGGATACACACACACAACACATTTTTTGTTATCCCTCTGATAAAGCCATACAGGTAAAATGCATTATTGGATATTTGAAACATAATTGGTATATACATGAATGTACCATTGTATTAATTAACAGTAAAATCTGATCTGTGGTCTGAGAAACACTTCCCTGAGCAATTTCTGTTAATCTCAAACAAGTTCAAATTGTTAAAAAAATTGTCTTCAAATATATAATTTATCTTTGATTATCATGGGTAAGACGCACTAAAATGGCCACAGTGTTAAACTACATCTATAAATTATTGTTTTTAAAATGCAGCCATGTCTAATCCTTATTTTGATGACAAAGAAACAAGGATTTTACAGGTGTTGGACCAAATTAAATAGCAGTAAACTTTTTTTTTTATTACAGTATTTTCTTATTTTGATGTTATTAGCTTTTTTCTGTTTAGAACAAATAGATACTAATTTTTAAAGTATCAGATTGAATCTTTGGTTAATAAAAATCCTTGTTTCTTTCATTGTCACTTGGAAAGGAATCTGATATTTTATTATTGGATCCAATCAAAGAGATTCCCATTTTTATCAATTACTATCTATCCTCCTTATCCTCATAGTCTTCATTTCTTTTCTACCCCCTCTTACATTCATCACACTGCTATAGTAACCCTCTACCATGGCTGGCTCTTGAGTCTTGTATTGGATGAACTTTAGCATTAAAAATACCCAAACAGACTAATTCTGCTCTGAGAAATTAACTTTGAATACTTCACAGGATAATTTGTTTCAGTGAAAACAAGGAAGTTATAGTTGCAATTGTTATGTAGTGTAATAATTTGTTAATGATTGTGTTTTTTAACTGTTCTGGTAGGATTAAGTCATCTAAAAGTCTTGATGTTATGTTTGAACAGGGTTTCAGTGCTTGTCATAGGCACTATTTCCCATAAGCACTAAACTTGAGGCTTTAAACAGAAAAGTTGATACAGGTAGCTAGATGGCAGGAGAGTAACTCTGTATATTTATTTACCTTTTTACTATCAGCAGCAATAGTTACTAGTTAGGAATGAACATGAAAAGTTTGCTCCCTTGATTGATTCATTCTTTTACAACTTATCAATGCTTTTGGCATTTTATATTATAAGAAGAATTTTCTCTCTCACTCTTTTTTTTGTGTGTGAGTAAATATTACATTAACAAGCTTTTGATAATAAGTAATTTTTTCAAAATACTTGCCCTATTATTTAACCCATAGTTAGGGGGAAGAAAGGCATTCATACCTTATTTGCACATAAGTATTTCTAATAAACTCTACTGGAATCTAAACACTCAGCCAGTTATGTGCCATCTGTGATACCTGCTTAGGTGATCATGTATCTTTCAATACATGACTGACGAGGCAGTTTTTTTCCCACAGTAGGTTGCCATTTCTTTCTGTGGTAGACCAGTTGCCATCCAAGGCTATAGAACCCGGTCTGTCCTGCTATTTACCCATAGCTAAGGGGAGAAGAAAAGGATTTATACTTTTCCCAAGGATATTAGCATGTAAGTGAATGTAATGGATTTACTATTTTTTTTTCCTTCTAAAGTCTACTTCAACTCTATACTTCTAATGTCTCCAACTCTGAAATTATATTTACTAGTTTTTTTTTTCCTTCAATAGGAATAAGTATGTTTGCCTATTGTCCAGTTCACACTCCTCTCCGGTCTTTTGAACATGAATAGAAACTTATCCACGGTTTTCTCATTTAGGATTGGATTTCTGGTTTGTTCTAAAGTCTACTTCAACTCTATACTTTTAACACCTCCAACTAAACTCTGAAATTATATTTACTATTTTTTTATGATTATTATGTATGGGGGTACAATTGAACAAGAGACCAACAAAACTTCTTTTAACACCAAGTTTGAAGGCATGGCAGCATTCACCAACTTAACCAAGGAGACTGTTCATCTGTAGGCTGTGGTTGGCAATTTTATTGAATAGATTTTCTCATTAGTATTTCAAGATATTTTTGTGTAATTTTGGTAAATATATCTGTCAAAATGAGATGTCAGTGTTATTTTCATTTTTGCATAATTTAGATGACAATTTATCCATCGCATACCGTAGGTTTAGTTCCTTTGTTGGTTTACAGCCAATCATGTTGAAACACCAGTTCTAATATGATCACCAAAGTTAAGCAACATAGAGCCTGGTCAGTACTTTGATGGTTGACCACTTGGGAATACTAGGTGGTGTAATGGATAATGACACTGATTTGAAAATCAGAGAGCTGAATTTCAATTTCTATTGGGTTTGTTACATTCACTTATATGCAAATGCCCTCTCCCCCCACCAGTTATGGGTTATTTAATAAAACATATCTCGAAAAAAAAAAAAAAAAATTCTTACAATCTAAAAATATTTTCTGGGTTTAAATAACCTACAAAGGATAAGAAGCCATAGAAAATAAATTAATAAAATACTGGTTAGTTACACAGGCATGTCTTTTAAATTTATTTATTTACTTTCTCTGGAATATATAGAAACTACCGTGACCACAAAGTGAGGGATCAGTTTATGTAGTGATTGTAATATAGAATTGAATTCCCATTTTATGTACACAATTTCTTTGTTTAACAAATTCAGATTAGATATGAATCCACCATTTCTCCCCCACCCCCAAGCTATAGGTTAATTAGTAAGACTTGTGTCACTAAATCTTTATCTCAAAAAACAAAAATTCTTGTAATATTTTCTGGTTTAAAATAACCTGCAAAGGGTGAATAAAGGGTAGAAAACAAATCAATCAATCGGAATTCCTTTGTTATTAATTCTTGAGGAAAAAAAATCCTGAATCCAAAAATTACCAAGGGAATATACAGTAATAGTGGTGTCAAGAGAGAGAATGTCCTTTTGACACACCATTTTTTTTTTTTGGGGATGTATGTTAAACTTTGCCAATAACTCCTTTTACCAGAAATTCAGATAGAAAGTTTGAACTTGTTCATTAACATTTCAAAATTAATTTCTTTCAATTTTAAGTTTCAAACTGAAATTTGAAAAATTGGTGAAGATAAATAAGCTCAACAAAAAAAAAATAATATTTCAGTGAATAATTTTCCAATATAAACTTATGAAAATTTTCTATCAGTTTTGCAAAACATAAAATGTATAATTTGTCCTCCTTAAAAAAATTAATAGAATATGTAAAGTATTCACTTGAGCTTGCTTGGGGATTCATGAGTCTGTCATGCCAACCATCAGGGTCTTGCATCAAAGTCATTAGGGAGGCATTCTGTGTCATAACACAGATGGTCAATGTAAGTGGCTGCTGGGCGACCAACCCATCTTGCTCCATGGCTAGTTGTCCAAAGCAGTCAGCCACTCTGTGTTTTGCTCTCCAGCAGTGTCCTGCAAATCACATTCTACGTTCATGTAAGATTGTAGAAATATCAGCAATGAGTCCATAGAGCTTTGATTTAGTTGAATGTTGTCTCCAAGAAATGTTAAGTATAGTTCTAAGAATCTGAGTTTAGGTTCCATCAAGCTTAGAGTTAGCTAGGATTTTAGTTAATGTCCAAGCAGTGGCTCCGTACATTAACACCACCTCTACAGTGGCTCCGTACATTAACACCACCTCTACAGTGGCTCCGTACATTAACACCACCTCTACAGTGGCTCCGTACATTAACACCACCTCTACAGTGGCTCTGTACATTAACACCACCTCTACAGTGGCTCAAAAGAATTTCCACTTGAGCTCGTCTGGTTGATTAGATTTCCAGATTACATCCATTTTATTCAAGACAGCCCAGGCTTTACCTATGCAAATTTTCATGCCTTTTTCAGTAGAATTTATTTAACTTTCTAGGTATGTAAAAAAAAAAAAAAAAAAATTTGACAGATTTTATCGATTCTCCTGAGACAGTTTGTATTGAGCCTTGCTGGTTTGGAGCTTATGATTTCAGTTTTAGAGGCATTGACACATAGTCAAACATCACTGGCAGCATTTTGAAGATGATGTAGGAGAACTGTGGCATTGGGAATGATGTCTGCAATGATAGCTAGGTCATTTGCACAGTGAATAAGTCTCTTTTTTTTTTTTTTTTGCAGGATATCTCCTTGGGTCTTAGTGATAAAGTAAAACCTAGATGATGTTTGTTGAGGGAAATTCACTAGATGTAGTTAAGGGTGATAACAAAGAGAAAAGGTGCAAGAGTGTCACCCTGAAGGATCCCTGCTTTGATGTAGATGAAGCTAGTGTCTCCATCTGGAGATCTAACCAAAGATTTTCTATTTTTGTAGCATCATTATAGCAGCTACTGCCTCAGGGAAGAGACCATATGACAGGATGATCTCCATTATTTTCCTATGTACAATATCAAAGTCTTTAGAGAAATCTACAAAAAGTAAGGCAGCCTATAGAATCTTTGCTCTGATAGCCTCAATAATCCATTGAATGGTCAAGATATTTTGTTCTTATTTTAGAATACCTTTTCTACTTCAGGCTGTATTCTGTTAAGAACCATTGATTTTTAAATTTTGGCTGCAATGGTGCTGAATGTGGTTCCTCTACAATTTTTTGTCAATCCTAGATCTCCTTTCTTTGGGAAAGGAAGTATGCAGCCTTCTGTCCATCTTTCTATGACTTCTCGATTATATGTGGTTTTACAGAGTTGAAGTAGAATATTGTCAAAATTCTGGGTCTTCCAGACCTCCGGAGGACTGTTATCAAGTGCCGCATCTTTCTTATTTTGAATGTTCTTTAAAGTTGTTTCAAGTTCTGGATCTGTAAAGTTTCCAGGTTTAATGTCAAGGACGTTCAAGGATTTGCTTGACCTCAGTATCTAAAATGTCAGGTACATTCCCCAAGAGATATTTAAAATAGTCTTGCCATTTATTCGGCCTGACTATTGGGCCTTGGTTTTATTTGTTGAGTTTCTGCCGCTGATCTTGTTGAGTTTTCCTAGCAAGAGCAGATTATTTGTTCACAGCAGAAGAGTTGATGAACCAATGTTTTTTTTTCTTTTCTATTGTTGTTATATTGTTTTGGCTGTAATGCCCTCCGGCCTTCATCAGGTGCAATTCAGGTAACATACAAAGAATTCTGAATTGAATCATATATATATATATATATATACACACACACACACACACACACACACACAGAGTAGACTGTTTTTGTTTCACTGTCTATATATCGGGATATCTCCTCTAGTTCTTATTTTTAGTACTGCTCAGTTATTCCTTGCCCTGTTTCCAATGAGTCCAAGTGCATCCTTCCCTGCTCAGAGAAACAGATGAGCAAAAACTGAGTTGAAAATCATTCAGGGAGCACAAAAACTACAAATGTACATTTGGCTCTATTGTGCAAGTCCATTGTGTATTCACTCACTTCCTTTTTTCTTCTCATCACTATTTCTCTATTTTTTGCTATTTCTCCATCTTTTACACTTTCAACTTCATTTCATTTTTTTCTTTTTTTACTTCTCTTCTTACTACCACTTTTCATTTTCACTTTTTTCCTTTTTTTTTTTTTTTTTTTTTTTTATTTTACTTTCATCCTCTTTTATTAGAACCATCTCTTTTCATTGTTCAGACTGTTGTCTTCATTGTTATTACCATATTCACAATGTTTCAGCCGTTATACACTGCAGCCTTCTTCAGTTTATATTAGTTGGAATTTAAATGCAAATTCTTTATTTAATACACAAAAGTAAATTGTGAATATGACAAAGATGAGGGCAACAGTCTAAACAGTGTAAATAGTCACAATACCTCATCTCAGAAATATAGACAGACATCTCTTTTCATCTCCACTTTCTTTACTTTTCTTACTATCATTTTGTTTTTCTTTTTCCACTTTCTTACTCTGTTATCATTTTTCTTACTACCATCTTCTTTTTCACTCTTTTCTTACTATCATCTCTTTTCATCTTCACTTTTTTTACTTTTCTTATTACCATTTTTTTTCTTTTTCTCTTCTATCATCTCTTTTTATCTTCACTTTTCCTTTTCACCTTTTCTTCTCTTCTTACTCCCTCTCTCTCTTTCGCTTTCTTCCTCTTTTCTTAGAACCATCTCTTTTCATCTTCACTTTTTTTACTTTTCTTACTACCATTTTTTTCTTTTTCACTGTTTTCTCTCTTCTTACTATCATCTCTTTTCATCTTCACTTTTCCTTTTCACCTTTTCCTCTCTTCTTACTAGCCTCTTTCTCATCTTTTTCTCACCCCCACCCACCCCCACCACCACCGTTTCTCCTCTCCTTTCCAACAACAGCTGAATGCCGTCACAGTGCCCTATCTGTCCTGGCACTCCTCTCTTCTAGAATCACAGTTTTACTGCCTTTCCTAATTGCCACTTATCTTTGTTCTCTTCTTGCTTCAACCTCAGAATTTTGCCCCCTCCTCTTTCTCTGAATGACTTATCTATCCTTCAGCCCTCTCAACCCATTGATCTACCTATTGCTGCTGCTGCTGCTATAGGCAGGTAAGCAGACAGATGCTAAATGCTGGGGTAACAGACATTCATCAGATGGCATGTCCAAATTAGGTAGCATCATTTGTAACTGTTGCTTTGGAACCTTTCCAGATTCTGAAAAACAAGCCTAATATCATATCTCTACATTTCTACAGTAATGGTGATAATGGTTGTGGTAGTAGTATGAGATTATGTTTATGATGATGATCAGAATAGTACTATAAAGAGTGTTTGGGGTGGTGAGAAGTGTGTTAACTGTGATAGTGATATTGGTCACATTAATGAAAGGAGGAGAGTTAATAGAGAAAAGAAGAAAAAGTGAAAGATAAAGGAAAAACTAAATGAAGAAGATAAAATAGAAAAACAAGTAAAAGAAAATAAAAAAAAGATAGAAACAAAGGAGCAGAAAGATAGAAGAGAAAAGAAAGAAAGGGAAAAGAGTGAAGGATGTAAAAAAAAAAGTGCTGAAGAAGAGAGAGGGGTAGGAAGCAAAGAAAGAAAGAAAAAGGAAAAATGTAAAGGAAAGAAAGAAAAGTAAGAGTAGATAAAAGAAAATGAAAGGAAGGAATGAAAGAAAACATGAGAAAAAGAAAATAAATATAGAAAAAGGAAATATATTGAAATTATATGTAAAAACAAATATAGCTATATCAATAATGATCAGAGCATATTATTCAAGCATAATGTTAAAAAAAATGGGACAATGAAAAAAATGAGGAAAAAAAATGTTAATAAATTCAGTGATTATATGAATAAGCATTATACAAAAAGAAA